GCTGGCTCTTTGTCTTTCTTATTTTATGTAATACTTATTGCTTGTAAAATCCATATATGTTGTTTGGTAGAAAATTAAGATAAAGGAGCCAAAAACCATCCCATTAAAGAGAATAGTAATATTAGCTAATATTTATTGAGAGCCAGATACCACAGTGAGTAGTTTCAGGGTCTTATCTCTGTCCTCAACAGTCTTATACAGGAGATCCTTATTCCAAGTTCACAGACGAAGGACTTGAGGCTCTAAGGAGTTGTTATTTGCCTAAAGGCACATGGCTAGTCACTGTGGCGAAGTTTGGGACCCAGTAGAGACCTGTCTGTTCTTAAGAGTCTTCTTTAGGCCACTATGTGCTATTAGAAAGAGTAAGCTGCATTTTTATTTCTGAATATTTACTTTTCGGAGCCTAATCTTTTAAATGGACTCCTTAGTTGAATGCTTAACTAGTAATAGCTCATAATTTGTACCCCTCATGCAGGAAACCATGTTTCTGCTTCTGTCCTGGCACCCAAACTGCCTCTCTTCTCTCCTCTCCGCCCACCCAAAAGCTCCAATAAGTCATGTTGAATATGGATTTATTAAATTTTCAAAATGTGATTCTTAGGGCATTTCTATAAAATGACAAGTCCTTTCCACACCATTGCATTCAGTGTCTTAATTCCATATTGGCATCAAATGCACTGGAAACACTGAATCCAGCATAAGAGCTGGAGCAGGTGAACTGTTAGGGTGATTTCAAGTTCAAAGTGGCGTTCTTTCAGCAATAAATAAGGTAAGTGCTCATCACTGAGATTTCAGACTCTGTAACAATTAATCTGGTCTACTATCAGTGGGAATGGGATTCTGGAAGAAACTGCTTTACAGGCAAATCAGGTCCCTGCCCCTCAATACATAGACACAAACAAACAGAAATACGTGTTAAGAAATTGAAAATTCATTATATGTTCAAATATATTATTTCTACTTTTGTTCCTCTTTGAAAATTATAGAAGTAGTACCTGTACCTGTAAATTACACTGTAAGAAAATAACTGCTCTGATACATGAAAACCTTAAGAAAAGAGATTTGGAAGATTCAGCAAAATGTTGAGGAAAGGTAAAATCATATTCTCCATTGTATGTGATTAAGATGGATAGACAGAGAGGGGTCAGTTCATCCATTCTCGACTGCGTTCATATCTAATGTGATTTTGCTTGTGATTCATCTTTGTTTAATAGTAGCAGGACCCATTTTTGTATGTTTATATATTGAAAAATGTAGGCAAAATTTTAGAAGAGGCACAAAGGGAGATTTCTGTAAAAGCTTTTCAGACAGTGGGCTATGGCGGATGCAGAAGCTATTCAAACAATCCTCCTCCCAAACCTGAGCTCTGGATGACAGGTAAATATTCTCTCATTTTTTTCCATATAACGTGAGGAGGGGAGGCAGCCGATGCAGGGGGGGCAGGAGAGGTGCCGGTGCTGCCTCAGAATTCCAGGATTCGGTCCCAGTTTGGTCACAAATGGCAGCGGGGTCCTTGGAGAGGTAGGTGACTCTGTCCTGGTCCTTGGGGCCAGTTGCCGCCTGAGCTCGCATGGACGACATTGATGAGGAGCAAACTTGCTGGAGCAGCTGGGGGTCCCTGACGGGTGGGGATGTCAGGTCCCCGCGGGATTTCTGTGTTGAAAGATGAGTAAATATGTTTGTATTGTTTATTTGATTCTGACATAACCAATAGAAAAGAATGAGCAAAAACTTGATAAACTTGTCATTTTGTCAGAAGGTGATTCTTGTCTGTGTCAACGTATTTAACTGTGTAGACGTATCCAGGAATGTCTTAAGCTGGGTTTGTTTTTGTTCTAAAATTCAGATTAGTAAATGTACTCATTCTTTATTAACCTTAGAGATGAATCTTTTCTTGGATGAGGGAGAACATCTCACAAGGAATTTTTGAGCCTGCAACATCGAGTCAAAAAAGTTTTCAAAGAATTTTCACACTGCTGGTAAAAATGCTGGAAAAAGAAAAGAAATGATATAGTATGGTTTCTTTACTGGTTGTGATCACAGGCACGACTGAGTTCATAAACTGAAAAGAAACTTTCTGGTTCTCTCTTTTCCAAGCGACTATATACTCAGTGTACATTGCATCAATCCAGTTAAAAAATAGTGATACAGGTATAATTCAGAAGGTCTTGAAAAGTATGTTTTTAGGAGAGAGTAGTGCAGAGAAAAATGAGAAATTTGAATCTGCATCTATCATGTTGTGTATAACCATCCTTCAACCAATACATTTTGATTCACTGATTATTGATTTCTTAAAATTATAAAAAGAATACATGCCTAACATGAAAAAAAAATGGAAAAGATAAAGAATAAAGAAAAAATTGAAATTTCATAGTGACATTTATTACCGTTGACATTTGCTATATTTCCATTCATCCATTCTGTCAACGTAACAACTATTTCAAGTGGATATGGTTAGAACTAAATGAAATTAAATATGGAAATGGCTCCATATAGGTTGGGACACGGTAAGTAATAAAAAAAGTCAATTTTCCAGAATTCCATTACCATCCACTGCAGTTCTTGACAAAATCAGGAGTAGAGAAAAATGTATTAGCTACAATCTAGTCTATAGGACACTTAGAACAAATGGTCAGATTTCAAGAACACTTTCAATTTCTAAGACTCACTGTTAGCCATTTGTAAAAATGATTAGAATTTAATAGGCATTACTTCAAATATTGTTAGCCTGAGTATAGGATGATCTTTCATTTTTCAGCACAAATACCTGGATGTAAAAGGTGGGGGGGAATAGCAACTTGATCATATAAACAGAATAATATAGATGCAATGTGAAATATTCATTTATAATATTTTTATGTTTTTATTGGATTATACTCAAAAATTAAGAAGCATATCTTTTTTATAATATGAGTTGAGAAATCTGATTTTTGTGCCCTCACATTTCATCCAAAATTTTGTTCAGACTTTCTACATGTGTCGACTTCAGAGCAAATTTCTGAGTCATCACAGAGTCTGAGTGTCTGTTTGGGGATTCCCAGATAATGATGTCACTGGGTATTTTATTGGAAGAGACAATTACCTATTTACAAAATAAAATAAAACCATCTATTTTATTTAATCATATATTTGTGTAATGTAAGCATAAAGCATAAAGACTTTAGTCCCAAGTACTATTTACCAAACCTATAGTTAACTTCTTTATTGTCTTTTACCAGTATTATCTCTAAAACTGGAAGTAACTGAGTTTATTTCAGGTTGATAGCTTGTCCAAGTAGGACTGATTCATCAAAGTAGAATATTGGAAGAGCCTCTTTTAATACGAGAGGTTGCCCAGGACTAAAACATAAGACAACCACTGTTTCATGAAGGATGATGTGGGAAAGAAAGATTCACCTTATTCTGTGGTATCTCAGTGTGTTTGAATACCACATATTTTATGTCTATATCCCAGAGTGGGATTAGCAAACATCTTCTCCCATTTTTCATGTGACCTTCGAGGCAGGTCTTCCTAAACTATCAAGCTCTGGGGCAGAAAAAGAATCAAGCTCTAACGCACAAATCAGGCTCTCATTTACTTACATTGCTTCCTTCCAAAATCTATTTGAGAAGACCTAAAATAAAATACACAAGTACAGTTAGGCCATGAAATAAAAATAAAAGATCAAAAGCACTAAAGAACGCAGAGGAAAAACGGTCCATGATTATCTAGCAAGAAACACAGGGTAAAATTTTATGTTCAAAGATAGGAGAAAAATGTGGTAGAGTCCATACTTTTTATTAACTGATAAAATGAGGCACAACAAATTTTCAAATGTGTTGTGTCTTTCCACCAAAAAATGAGAAAAGGACTTCAAAGCATGCATCCTTTAGGGGGAATATGAAGTGAAATAAGAAAAGGTCTTTAAACAAAAGCATTTCATGCTATCACTGCATCATTACTGTGGGCAGTGGCACCATGACATTTAATGTCATTCACAGATGGTGACCTTCAGCAGACACGGTCAGGCAGGTGACAGCGTGGGGATCTAATGTGACAATAGGGGGTTTGGAGGACCAAGAAACCGGCCATTGATCTAGTCATTTGGCCATGAAGGCCCACAGTGGGAGATTCAAGCCAAACTTTGGGCATGATCTAGAAGGAAGTCATTTTGAGGTAGAAATTTCTGGTGAAAGCTTGGAATGCACATAGATTGTGCTGTTGGTGGGAAAAGGGCCATTTGCTTTGGACAACACAGGTGAAGCAGTTCCATGAACTGACCCCATATTACCAGGCTGTAGCCAATCTTCCCTTTGACTTTCTTAACACTGGAAATGCAGTGGACAAGACAAATGATTGCCTACTAACTGGTGTGTCAAAATCACATTTCCAGTGGTGGTGGCTCAGTGAATTCCAGACATAGCAGAGCAAACTGGGGTGCAAACGAAGGAATGAGTCTCCATGTTTCATTGACATAGATCTAACCGGTATCCCCAAATACTGTATTTCCATTAGTAAGGAAGGTTTGATCCCATGAGATAAAATGTGTTGGAGCACACAATCAACACAAACAACTGCTAATAATAATGGTAATGATAATCATTATAATCTCCCAGTGCCATAGCAGGTTTAATCATGTCGCTTTCCAGATCTTGTTTCATTTCCAACTCACTTCAGCGCCTGGTGGAGTGTTGAACTGATTCACACTAACATCATCATTTTAAAATAAACAAAGCAATGACTTTAATTTACTTGACTTGCTCATCCACAGAACTTGTTATAACCAAAATTAACCAGGGGGCACCTGGGTGGCTCAGTTGGTTAAGTGTCCAATTTGGCTCAGGTCATGATCTCATGGTTCGTGAGTTCAAGCCCCAAATTGGGTTCACTGCTGTCAACTCAGAGCCAGCTTCCAGTCCTCTGCCTCTCTCTCTACTCGTCCCCTGCTCACAGGCTCTCTCTCTCTCTGAAAAATAAATAAACATTAAGCAAACAAATTAAAACCCCAAAACGAATCAGTATCCAAATCCTGGTCCCTTGAATTGAAGGCCATAATAGTTCACTGAATTCAAAGAACTCAGAAAAGCTAAATCACACTAAAGATTTGATATGGGTGGAATTACTACGGAATTATTTTATTCTATTTTTTGAGTTCATTTATTTACTTTGAGAGAGAGACTGGGGAAGGGACAGAGAGAGAGGGACAGAGAGAATCCCAAGCAGGCTCTGCGCTACCAGGGCAAAGCCTGACATGGAGCTGGATCCCACGAACCATGAAATCACGACCTGAGACAAAATCAAGAGTCATACGTTTAACTAACTAAGCTACCAGGTGCCCCTATGGAATTATTTTATAAAACTTGTCAGTGACAGAACATTTGTCATCACAGGCAAGTAACAGAAGATGGCAATGTTTTCACAATAAAAGAAAGAAGGCAAGAAGCAATCAAATTGGAATAATATTTAAGAATGTTTAGAAAAAAGAAGTTTGGGATGGACTTAGATGTGGAAATCTTAGGAGAGATTTTAATATCAATCCTTACAGTACGGGCCAGCATAGACAACATTGTGCAAATACTGCAATAGCATCTGACTTTGTGTCCGTGTGGACTATTATAAAGTGCTCATATACAACATGTATAACTGTCATGAAAGGGTTTGGCCCAAGAATGGAGTTAATCATGACGGGTAAATTTTGTGAGTTGACATACTTCCTTTTCTGATGGTGAAAAGTTGTCGAGAACCTGGGCTTTGGACTCAGGCTGACTGAGGGCTCTGGCTTCACTGCTTATTGCTTATATGAACCTGGGTGATTATTCTCTGGCCTCAGTTTTCTAATCCATAAGTTGGGGTGACAGTATGTATTCAGAAGGGGTAGACCAGAATTAAATGAGAGAATGAATAAAGTATTGGCATGTTGTCTAACACATAACAGGTACAAGATAGAGGTGGCCCCATTTCAGACCTAAAGGGAGAATTGTGTTTAGTATGGAAAGTGGTCTGTAGTCAGTCATACTGTCAGAGCAGAAATTTGCCAGGGGACTCAGCTGTATGTTTTATTGCTCCAATGGAAATTTAGCTTAGTGTCCACTAACACATGAAACACTTGAATTTAGAGGTGTTTGTTTCTGTTTAGTGGACTTTTTCCTCTTTTAACAACAGAAATGAGATTAAGGCTTTATTTTTGTATTTTTGTAGTTGTTATACAGACTTTAAAATTTACCCTTTATCTTAATTGCTATCATCTCTACCATAAACAAGTTTGAGCTTCATGCTCGTATTTATTAGAAACACAATTAAAGGTTGAAATAATAGTTAGAACATACTTAAAATATGGTTAGAGATACAGTTCATACTTTTGAATACTTAGAAATGTCATAAATTTGAAATTCATATTTGCATATGAAATTTATATACTTATTTAATAAAAGAAAAATAAGAACAAACTAGAGAAATTTTGAATCAACATTAATATGAAGATTTGAAATAATACACTGATATATGGTAGGTATTTGGTAAATTTATATAGAATTCATAGAGCTTCAACTTCACAAAACACATACCACATAGGCAACTTACTGAACTCTTTTGATTATGAATGTATGTATAAATGTATTGGACAAGCTTATTTATTTTGTAAACTAGTTTCTATTTTAAGCATTAGGAAAATGATTTTGGCCACAGAAACCCTGTTAGTAAGTTTAAAAAAAGAATGTTGAAAGAAACGACATGTCATATTCATGTCATATAATTATGGAAAATATGGGAACTAACGATATATAATAAAGTACACTAAGCCTCAATTAACTCTTACATTGAGAAAGTTATGGAAGTTCAAGATTCCTTCTATCCTGAAAAGAATGAAACTTCAAGAATCTAGCTTAGGAAAAGGGAAAGGAGGTAAGCATTGTGTCTTACCATCCAGAAATTTTCATAACTATGATGTATCAGAAATATTCCTATAAAAACTCAAAGTTCCTAAGATGAAAAGTACAGTCTTTAATGTATTGACTGAAGGCTAAAATCATGACAATATCATTACAATTAAAAATGAATCTTTTTTAGTTTCAAAGGGGTGTGCCTTTGAAACATCACCCGATGTTTATAGCATCATTACTGACAATAGCCAAACTATGGAGAGAGCCCAAAAGTCAATGACTGGATAAGGAAGATGTGATATATATATATATATATCCACAATCAAATATTACTCAGCCATCAAAAACAATGAAATCTTCCCATTTGCAGTGAAGTGGATAGAACTAGAATGTATTATGCTAAGCAAAATAAGCCAATTAGAGAAAGTCAAATACCGTATGATTTCATGCATATGCGGAATTTAAGAAACAAAATGATGAACATATGGGAAGGGGGTGGAGAGGAAAGAGGGAAACAAACCACAAAAGACTCTTAATGATAAAGAACAAAATGCGAGTTGATGGAGGGAGGTGGGTGCAAGACAGGCTAGACATGCTCTTGAAAACGATGATGTTTTGTTATATGTTTTGATATGACGTGTGCAGGAAACTCTGGAACCGTACCTCCTAACATTACACCGGTTACATGTAACTGTATTCAGCAGGTGAAATCAGAAAGTTGTGGGTATGACAAGTTAAGCAGGCTTTTAGGGCAGATTCGCATTTGGTGGGGAGACACTGACAGTCAAAGTACGGTGCCTTCTTAGTCATGCTTCAACTCCAAATGAAATTCCAATATAAAATGTGCACTTAGTGAACATTTTCTAAAGCAAAACAAAACTGAGACCATTGCATTGCTAGATAAGGTTAGTATAATAACATTACTTAAAACAATTTTTTAATAGAAGTTTTGTAAATATTACCCCATTGCTTCTAAATTCAAGGCATTGTAAATAGTTTGGTAGTACAGCTTTAAACATTGTCCTACTCAAAATCTTGGACTGGTTCCAATGTAAGAGAGAGATGATCTATAAAATCAGAAATCAAGGAGAACTTCAGTAAGAGAAGTGGGTATGGGATCTGATTTGAAACTAAAAGGTTAACTTGGTAGATTATCAAGTGTACGTGAAAATAGATTCTCATTCAAACAAATGACTGTGTATTGTTTTTAAAAATTCCAAGATTTAAACTAGCCACTTAATAGCTATAACTTTGGGCAAGTTCATAACTGCTTGTACCTATTTTCCAATGGAATGTAAGAAAATAAAGACTTTATAACCCGCTGTGGATGAAAGGCCGTAGTAAGTACTAATACTATGGCAACTTTGCCTTCTTGTACTCTGTGCAGAGGTGATTCCAAACCACACAATGTTTCTGTTTCTCTAATAATAGTTTTCATTGCATTCCATTTTCCTCCACAGATGAACGTCCTGTTGAAAACATTTCCCCCAAGCTCACAACTTTTCTTCCTTCAACTGCTGAAATAAAACTCCATAAGGCTGGAACATATCTTTGTCTTCTTGAGGATTTTTTCCCTGGTTTTATCAAGATAGATTGGAAAGAAAAGAACGGCAAAACAATTCTGAAATCCCAGCAGGGAAACACCATGAAGATGAAGGACACATACATGAAATTCACCTGGCTGACTGTAACAGAAGAGTCAATGGATAAAGAACACAAATGCATCATCAAACATGATAGTAATAAAGGAGGGGTTGATCAAGAGATTCTTTTTCCTTCAATAAGCAAAGGTATGTGATTGTGAACATGAATATAAACTCCCAGAACCCTTTCCATTTTTCATGAGAATATGCCACCTTTTCTGTCAACTATTAATGGGAAACAAACAAATAGAAACCTTTCTTTAATAGAGTGGCCTTTATCAGAAGCACAAATGTTTTGCTATTACCCCATAGAATTAAAATTATATGGGGTTTGGGACATACAAAGAAAAAGAAAAAGAAAAATTCTCACCTCAGTTTCATTATCCAAATTATGAAGGTCACAATGATGTTTCTGAGCGTCACTGCATGGGTAAATGAAACAGTGCACGTGAAAGCATCTAGCAACCTTGCTCACCATAAATACCCAAGAGAGAGTCCACTTTTGATATTCTTACTTGACAATGAAATAAGAAAAACTATACAACTTTCAGGAATGTTCTACTCAGCAGTCAAAGTCCCTCTCACTTCAATCTGTTCTACCCAAAGTATCACCTATAAACATGAGTTACAGGTGACAAAATGCTGTTCATTTGACAAAGCCAGGTCAACACACACAAAGCAGCTTAACACACACAAAAAAAGGTAATTTGGCTGCTGAGGTTTTAGTATGCTCTTGGATTTTTTAGATTTGAATTTTATATCCCACCGTTAGGTGGAACTTGGAAAGAGAGGGTGAAGCTAATGTGTACAAACACTCTTCCATTCTACACAAGGAACGTGTTTCTACCACTGGTCAATGCTGCTCGGCAAACACTCATTGCAGTAGGAGCGTGCGCCTGGCCTGGAAGGGAGGCAGGGGGACCCTTGTCCCAAAGACCATCACCACATGACAGTGAATATCCAGGGTCACTCGTGACTCAGTCATGGCAGCACAAAGGAGCCTCATTTCCCAGACGCTGGACATACTTAGACAGTGTGGGCAGAGTTGAATGTGCTCTGGCCCGGCTGTGATCCAGTAACTCTCTAGACTCAGAAGTCAAGTCCTGAGCATGGACAGGACAGACCAGCGCCCCAAGAAGGAACCAGTGTGTACTTTCCTTGTGGTTAGCAGGCACTTTTTAAGCAGTGAGGAACAAGCACATAACAAGACATGTGAAGAGCTTTATATATACAAGTCTCAATTTCTGAAGTCAGCCTTCATCATCTTGGGTCTGTTGAAAAAAAAACCACAGACCCAAAATGGCAACACTTAGCTTAAGGCCCTAAATCACTAAAATAAGACTAAGTGCAATTTCAACTCCCAGAGCAGTAACATTTAACCAGTGAACATGGGAATTTCCTGGTCAGCCCTATGGAGTTTACCAATGGCCACTTGTCCCCTTAGGAGAGTGATATTGCCTAGAAAAATGGATTCTTTGCTAATAATTTCCTTTTCTGCACTCCCTGCTCCTCTGGAGCTCCTCTCTACTTGCAAGTTGGGATGCTGCTAGACTCGTAAGTCACATGATTAATACAGCCATTAGATCTTTAACATTTACTTGCTTGAATTTTTGTTATTGAACAGATTTGGTGGCAGTGATGGGATCTGAACTGAACTTCCAGGGGCGTTCAGAGACAAGGAGACAGCCAGGGGAGGTAACTGTGAGCCCCTTGAGTTCACTGTCTTCCTCACCATTTTCAAGGGCTGTAGGTGAGTTCCTGTTGATTCTGAGATTCAGTCTCTCTGCATTCAAACTCCTGATCTCATTGGCTGGCTTTCCTTTACAATGCGGGTCACCTTGGGCTGGCAGAAGGTTATTGTCAGAGCCCAGTTGAACCAGCTTCTTTGTCTAGACCCCAGTTGAAGTGGCACGCTTGCCCAGAGCCTAAGTGGACAGTAGGGTTGATCTTCCCAGAGCCAAGTTCCCAAACTTTCTGACCACATTCCTTGAATGGAAACTTCAGCAAATTTCCAGAAGAATTAATGGTGGTGCACAAAGAGCCTTCTTGTGGCCAGAGCCCAGTAATATCTCTTGGTTACTATCCACACACTAAGGTGCACACAACCGTTTTTCTTGTTTTGTAGAGATAGAGGCTACTGCTAACAGGGATCAGAGACAGAAAAACCCGCAAAATTGATGGGCATAGGTGAAGCATTTAAAGGCTATTAGAATCCTCACCACCTCAAGAACACCCCCTTGATAGTATAACTTGCTCAGGGAATAGATTGGATCGTCACTGGGCCACCCATCCACGTCAAGAAAATTTCTGCGCAAAGAGCTATACTTTAAGACACATGCAATCCCCAATTCCAGGACTCATCCCTTTTGGATATTCGTTTTGCTCTGAGAAGCCCAAAGTTAGCTCTTGGGGTCCTTAAATTCTAAGAGGTCAAGTGCAACCACCTTCTTGTATACCTGCTTATATTATGTCTACAAACTATAGTCCCAGAAGTTACGGACATCTAGCAAAAAATGGCAAAATCTTACTAAGCTTGCTTTGTGTCCTGAGGAACTAGCTTGATAACCATCAAGTTGGAGACTCCCCAAAAAGCTGGACAGAAATGTAGCTACACTTCCCTTGTGGAGACTTATGGCTGGAGGGAAGTGTGGGTTAGCTCCACTCAAGGCTAAGGTCCTATGGATCTGCTGCCAGGCCTCAGGGCAATTACAGCCTAGAAATACCGTGGCCATAATGGAGAATTTTCCAGTTTGGAATAAGATCATTTAAGAACTACATTTAGAAGCAAAAGTTCTCACATTAGATAAAAGAGGACACTTCTGTTCATTGGCAAGCAGACGCCTCTAAAAGATTTAAAATTCAAAGGTGGTTTCAATGAAACATTCTTTGCAAAAGGCTAATGAAAAATTAAAGATGGAAGAGGTACCAACACAAAAGCTCTAAGACTGACGCAGCTCCTCTTGCCTCACTCTTTGCTCCTTTGAGCAGTCATTCTAGCGTCAATTTGTTTTCCTCTCTGAAAAGACTACACAGCCATATTAATGGCCTTAGGGACACCCCCATTCTACCTTCAGAGGAGGGCCCCTAAATGAGGCCCTCCCAGAGCTGATGAAACTGGGTGATTTTCTGACAAGCTGTTACATTATTCCCTTAAATGGCCAAGTGGAAATTCTGATAAGTACCAAGATCTGCTGGAGAGGTCTTAGAAAAACTGGCAGAACCCAGAAAGGGTGGAATCTCAGCAGAATCAGCTCTTCTTTTGAATCTCTGTCCACAGTGCCTGGTCCAGAGAGATTAGTGAAATTTCTCATTGTCCCACCCTTTCCACACGAACCTCCATTGCTTGTGGATCCTTCCTCTCCCAGAGACGCCATTGCCTCCTGGCTGGTGTCACCCTGCGTCACTGCTCTTAGCTCTCTGCCTGCCTGGGGTGTGCGGCTCGTGGGTTCCTTCCTTTGGCTGTCACTGTGGGTGACTCTGGGTCTTGGGAGGGTAATATCCTTACTACGTTCTCTGGGGACCCATCTTACACCCAAAGGGGGCTATTCCATCTGCCAGGAATACATAAAACTGTGCCTTGCCCCAGAGGGAAGGAAGCAAATTGAGGCTCATATGCTTGGAGAGATTCGATCAACCCATGATGTCATTTCACGTAAATCCAAGTCTGAGACACTGAGAGCAGCTGTCCTGACAAATGTGGACAGAACTAGACACGCAGCTCTGGGGTCCATGCAGAGCTCCCCCGTCCCTTCACCCACCCCCACTTCTCCCAGTTCTGGAAAAGGGACTATACAGGATTGGCTTTAGGAAAGCAAAGTCCTTCTTGGAGACACCTGCAGTCTTTCTCTGTCCTCAGAGTGACCCATCTTCTCATGTCTTTGAAATGTAAACATGGCCCACAAATGCCTGGGACTGAGAGAAAGTAAGGCAAACAGACCTTTTTCAAAAAGTACAAACTGCTAAATGGTTCTTGTGCCTAAACCCTAACTCAGTCCTCTTAATAATTCCAGGGAGGTGTCTGGTGGCTCAGTTGGTTAAGCATCAACTCTTGATTTCCACTCAGGTCATGTCATGGTTCTTGGGATCAAACTCCTCATTTGGTTCTGTGCTGACTGCATGGGCCCTGCTTGGGATTCTCTGTCTCCCCCCACCCCATCTCTGCCCCTTGCGTACTCTCTCTCTCTCTCTCTCTTCAAATAAATAAACATTAAAAAAATCTAGGGACAAATACAAATCTTAATATTTTCTCTATAAATGTCAGTGACTCTAGGGTTTTTGCAGCGATCTGTGTGTCCATAAATACACATCAACAATGTGAGACCTTTTTCTCTCTGGATGGTATTGCCAAAATTAGTCTGTAAAAAGCTCTATTTCTTTGAATTGAAGATGAGCATTTACATTCTAAACCTCTCAGGAAGATAGAAACTAACCCAAATGTGTTTGATCTTCACATGATCTGGACAAATACCCAGTTGTTGGTTTAAGTAAAAGACCTATCTTGAGAATCATCAGCACTAAAATTAAATTATTTCATGTGCCTTGGTTTACTAAAAGTCAAATAAGTAGAGGTGGTCTCTTTACAAAATATTAAAGAAAATAGCTTGAGAGAATGAACGACTTTGTTGTCTCATAAAGTTTTTATGGGTAATTTCAGCAAAACTGCTAAGAACTAGTAAATTGAATAGATATTTTAAAAATGAGAAATGTTAAATATATTTTCAAATAGTCTCCTAAATCTTTTTGGTAAACTAAATCTTTAAAGTTTTACAGTGTTAGGTCAAGTGTAAAATTGAATTACAGTCATTAAATATCTATATCATTTCCAAGTAATAGAAAATGCTAAATTATTAGTGAATGAACATAGGTTTACCAAATTTTGGTTTTTATTGCAGAAACTGAAATTATATATAGACCTACTTGTAAACGTATTTTGTGCTTTACTGGAAGACTGTTTTATGAAGAAGCACACATTTCTAGAACTTTTGAAATGCGTACATTAATTTGCCACTCTAAAGAATGCTGACTAACAGTTCACAATTGCTTACATATTAGCTTTCAGTAAAAAATGAAAGTTTCTAAGAGTTTAGAATTTTAATAAATGTAATTAAGACTACTAGTAATAATCACAGAAACAACTCTGAATGTAAGGAAAGTAGAATGTATGTTTTTAGTAAGAAAATGTATAAGGAATGGAAATGCATTTTATGAGGTAAAAAGAAAAAAAAGGACTTTGTCCTAAAGCAAGGCTGGTCATCTAAAGAGAGTAAACTCAGGACAAATTCTTAATTTAAAGAAACACTTGTAAAGATTTGTAAAAATGGGATGATTTGGGGCCCCTGGGTGGCTCAGTTGGTTAAGCTGGGACTGAGCCCCATGTCAGGCTTGGCAACTGGCTCTGTGCTGGGTGGGCTGCCTGCTTGAGATTCTCTCTCTCTTTCTCTCTCTCTCTTTCTCTTTCTCCCTCTCTTTCCCTCTGCCTGGCTCTTGCTCACTCTTTCTCTCTAGGGAGGAAGGAAGGAAGGAAAGAAGGAAGGAAGGAAAAAGGAAAGGAAAGGAAAGGAAAGGAAAGGAAAGGAAAGGAAAGGAAAGGAAAGGAAAGGAAAGGAAAGGAAAGGAAAGGAGAGGGGATATGTTTGGAAAGGAACGTTATGTGTGGTCAGGACTAAAACTGGAATGAAGCATTTTCAAATCAAAAATTAACAGGTGCAGCATTAGGTTAGGTTGTCTGTATGTCAAAAGGACAAAGGTTTTGTGGGTCTGTTTTCTTCTTTGGAGTTTTTGATCTGCTTCATCTCTTTAACTGGGAATATTCCAAAGGATTTGCTAAACTAACTGGATTTATTTCATAAGCTAAATTCCTGGGAAGCATTATCAAATAAAAATTCATACTAAGTGTTCCTTATGTTGTATTTGTAAGATTGTGGCACGTGTAGTTAAAGTCCACTCTGGTTCCACAAAAATATGGCCCCTCATTGTCAGTCGTTTGCTGTCCTGATGTCCTTGAGAGTGGCACGAGTCTGCTTCTGACTCGGAGAAATCAAGGTGTGTCCACAATGGCAGTGTGTTCGAGAAAGAGTCTGGGCTGAGCGAACATCAAGACAGCCACTTGGTTCCTCCCGGCTCCCGGGCAAGCCCCATTTCCTGGGTTTTGGGGGTTTTTTTTGTTTTTTTTTTTTCACTCCTTCACCCACCACAGGGCATTTAGGATTATTCAAATTATAAATAGACATCAGTTGAAGGAATTCTATAACAGAGCAAAACTGTTTACTGTTGATGTCTAATCTGTAAGGTCCATAATCCTGGAAAAATTGCTTTTTTTTACAAGAAGGCTTCAGACTTCTTCCCTCGGGACCCTTTGAACAACTGCAGCTGGACTTCACGCCAGTATCACTTAGTGTGCGCTGTCCACATGCCCTTGGTATTATTCCTATATTTTCTGGAAGGGTTAAAGCCTTTCCTGCCTACTTCACTGGGCAACTCATAGGATCCCTGAGGAAAACCTTGCAAACTTCTTGGAAAGCTCAGTGTATTACCTTCTGCTGACCCTTGTGTCGTGCGCTAGTCAGACCAGCTACCCCGTCTCCATGCCTTCTGCTCAAGCCTGTCCTCCACAGGTGACAGAAGCCTTGCTGAATCATAATTAAATAATCCTGTTGGTGAGTTTACAGCCTGGTGAATGGGTATTTTAGACACGTCGTCAAGGAAGACAGCCCTCGAACCCCCAGAGGGAGAGGGACCTTCCCGGGTGCC